ATTAAAATTTTATTCTTTTTCTTTTATCTTTTATTCTTTAGTTTATCGATATATATAATTATTTTTATTTTAAATAATGATATTAAATATCGGCAGTTATAAAACTTATGTTCAACAATATTTTTTTTTTTAGATATTTATTTGATTGATGATGCGGATTAAATTTATTAATTTAGATTATTAAAATTTAAATTTTGTTATTCAAATACATAGTTTATCATTTCTATTTTGCCTATCTTTATTTTGACTTTTTTTATTTTAACTAAGCATTCGCGATCCGTATAATTTATATTCAAAACACAGTATCGATATATATATTTTTGTTTAGTATTTGACATATGTAGTTGAAGCAAAAGAATATATAATTATGAATGTCAAAAACATTTAAATCTATTCTAATTCTATTCTATGATAATATAGCAATTTTCTTTGTTCTTTTTAACATTTAAATAAATTGAATAAAAATAGCGATATCATGTGTTTTAAATGAGAAAAGACTATTGAATGTTTTTAACATTATATGTTGCAATATATAATGACAAAATTTTTGCGCGGAACTTAATAAAAATATTGCATGCTGCATAAATCAGCTAATATTCCAGCGGGTCACTAGTGGGATATTGCGCAAAGTCGATGCCAGGCTTTGCGACAATAGAGACCATACAAGGAGTCCAGACAATATTAATTATCAATCTTATAATATATAATAATATAATTAAAATAACAAAAAAATAAAGGTAATTATTCATTGTGATACTATATTTATTTTAAATTTTAGTGGCGTTTTTGTCAAGTTTAATAAATCGAAAAAAATATATTTCGCCAATATTTTATTAAATTATTTTTCTACTATTATTTTTCTACTAATTTAAAGTTGACTACTATATATTATAAAATTTTATAGTTAAACTTATTAGTTCTGTACGGACCAGAGTACCGTAAAGTACGACAAAGTAGTACTCATAAGCTGAAATTTAAATTATGTTATGCAAAGAAAATTTATATATATATATATATATATATATATATATAATTATATATAATTATATATAAATTTTTATTTAACTTTAATGGCAATATAATTTGATTGAAAAATGTGTTTACATATAAAAATTCCAAAAGAATAAAGCAAATGAATACGATTATTAATTACAAACAAATTTTCAACAGATATTTCATATATTCTAATATATACTACATAAAAAAAAAAATAAAAATAAGTGAATCAAAAACATTTCACCACTAATAATATATTAATATTAATTCAATTATTTCTGAAATAGTCAAATATTTCATACTAGCGTTACATTTACCGTTGCAAAGCCTTCGAATGATGGAACAAACATTCCTCCCACAACCATTTTGCAACTTCTCATACTTCTTTGCATTATAAGTGGCAATAATCTTTGTGCTGGCAAAGGCGCACCTTGCCATCGTGCGATATATCTGGATAAAGTTTATTTGGCTATTAGTTTTCATCATTTCAAACTTAATATTTGATATTTAGTAGAATAATATAGATTTTAAGCGCTACTTTACTTTTAAAAATAGATACATAATATATGTATCTTTAATAAAAGTGTATTTTATAATTCTCGATTATATCCTATTATAAGTATTCGACAAGAGTTAAATAGATATGTACATAGATATATCTTTTTTGGAAACTTTTATATTTCTTATTCAAATAATTCGAACACATTATATACTTACATATTTTCAAAAATACTGCCGCTGTGATCTATTAAAATTTGGCCAACGTAGTTACCCAAGAACAAATAAATAATGTGACCAAAAATAAAACTAACTAATATTATAATATCGTTAATTTCATGCTTGAATAAAATTGTTTGAAAAAGCTGAAAAAAGATATGATAACATAATGAAGATATAATGAATTCAAGTTTAAATATTAGTTGCTAATAAAAATGTTTTTATATAAAACATATACTTTTCAATTTTTACTTTTATTGATTCATAATTATTGATGTATATCATTAGTGATATATAATTGATATATATCAATATAATAATTGTAAATTGATACATGTAATGATATGTAACAATACATATTATAAAAACACAACTAAATAAAATATACTTATACATATACTTTAATAAAACCTGTTATCTAAAAGTAATTGAAGAAATATTACCCACGCAGAAAAGATTAATGATTAGAGATGTAATACCGATTATAAGTAAAATGGTATATGAAATTGCCAGAGTAGACCACAGGAATTCGGAAAACCTTGAAGAGAAAGAAATTACTATATCGATCGATCATTATTGCAATATTTTAGCATGCAATTCTTTTTATTTTGTACAAATTTTCGAAACATGACTTGACAATATAAATATTATTTCATAAAGGAGATTTAATAGTTTTACATTATATTAATTGCTAGTATTTATAGAAATATTTTTCTTTTTATTATTAATAGAATACATTATACCGACTCGAGAGCTCTTTTGTGAATATATATAGCCTCAATTATTCTTTTGCAAATGATGATTGTTTGCTTTCCGGATGTGTAACTGTGTAAAGATTTATCATTAAATGCTTGATCCATTCGATAACTGTACAAATAGTAATTGTGTATTATAAAATTTGTAATAATATATTAAATAATTAAAAAAACTCAAATTAAAATAAAGTATATCTACATCATAATACTTATAAAATAAATACAAATAATTTGCATTAAGAACAAATATACAATTATTCACCCAATTTTCTGCTATTATATTACCTGGCAATACGAAACATTCCGCAAGCATGCTGTACGTACGTCACGTATAATGATTCAGTGCCTATCAAAGTGGTTACTATTAAGCCTAAACTTATACCTGTTTGTAATAAAATCGCATAAAAAAATTTTTGCTGATCGATAAAGTACTCTCCCGGAAATAGAAATTGTCGTGGTCGCGAGATGTTTAATGGAGCGATAATGTCGAGAATAGTTGGTATTAACGATAAAATAAAAAAAGTTATCATAGCCATAGAACCCAATACTAAAATCATAAAAGAATAAATTTTAATATTTATATGTTACGATTATTTATAGACAATTATACAATTATTTAAAGTTAATGACGTTAAACATATCTATCTCTTACTTGTAAAAGACAAACTGCACATGCTTCCAACATAGGTATAGCTTTTTATAATTTCTAATTCTTTTTTATCTTTAAGCATATTCCAATCTTCTTCTACATGATCCATGAGATGCTTTATCTATTCACGTGGAATTACAAAAATTTAATAGCTGATGTTCCCATCATTAAAAAAAGTTCAAATATATATTTAAATTTAAATAAAGTGCTCATTTATTGTTAATTTATTATTATAATTTGGAATTTAATGTTCCTACTTATTTGCAGAAAATTAATATCAAAATGAAAGGCTCTGATCTTCCATTATGATAGCACCCTTATACTTGAAAACATAAAGTATTGTAAACAAAAGAATCTATATATTAAGATTTTTTGCTTAAATTATGTAAATAGATATCATAAATTTTGAGCAATTATAAATATAACAAATTATTACCCTATTATTAGAAATATAACCATTATTACCACACATATAAAAGCAAAGTCAAACTAAGTCAAAATAAGTGACTACATAAGCTTGATACCAAATTGCTTCTAAAAACAAATAATTGTAAAATATTTTATTCTCAAATTTATACCTTTTGAAATAATTTAAAAAATTATTAAAAGTAAATAAATCAAGGGTGAAGAACATTAAACAAATTAATTGTTGAACCTAATTTGTTTGAGATATTTCTAAAATAGAAGCAAAAAATTCGGCATTAGAGCAATAAATTAATATTTAATTATGTTATATATCCAGAATCTTTTTAATGATGGAGTCAGCTTTGCAGAACTAAAGTTTGGATGAATAAATTCAATTATTATATGAAACGATTAGCAAAAAACAATTTATTTTAATTGTTTTTAATATTATATTTTAAAATAGACAAAATACAGTATATACATCGATGACCACGCATACCAACTCACCTTTCTAGCGACAATACAAAATGTTTGATATTTTATAATGTAAATTATGCAAAGTATGATAGGAGAGAGAAATTTTATCATAATATTGATGTTTCGTTTTAATGTTATCAATATCGCAATCTAAAACCATGATAATTCAATAATATCTATCATAAATTATTAATTTTTGAAGTAAGCATTATATATAGATTATTGTAAGAAAAGTTCATGAATAAATTATAATGCCAGAATTTTCTGATTAAATAAGACAGATCAGATTTAATATGTGATAATAGCAAATTTTTCATTTTTTTATGTAATACTCTTACCTGAGAAATTGTCATATACATTACAATAACATTACAAAATATCATTTGACAATATTTGTAGATTGAATGTTCATATGGCCATAAGCCAACTAACATTAAAAGACGTCGATTGAGTTTATAATATTCATTCCCGACGAAATTCATCTTACAGCAATCAAAATGATTCTATACTGAGACATGAAGAGATATCTTTATGTTCTCCTTTTGTTATTTTTTATATTTATTGAACCTATTTTTTTTCTATCTCGCTTGTCTATGTAATGCGGAGAATAAGTACTGTAATCTACATAGGTCCAACATATATAATTTAGTAATTTATGAAATTATCTGCATATTAGAATTATCACATCTATTCACACGGCCATGTAAAAATAATGTAGGAAAAAATTAGTAATATATGCAATTTACGATGTAAATGCCTTTCTTTGGAAGGGTTATTTTCTTATACCAGATCGTTTATACATTCCTTTTTATTACTTATCGAGATGTCATCTGTTATGTTGAAGCAAACATATTTTGTCAGCTTATTATTTAAAAATATTTAAGAAACATCGACTATATTTGGAATAAACTTCTTAAAATGTATTTATTTCATATTCATTTTTATATATTCTACATATATTTATATATGTGTACTATATACATATATCTTTTTCAGATAAAAAAAACAGAGCTTATGTGTTTGCAGTCGAAATGTGTTTATTTTACAGTTTAAACATTACAGTATTTAATCTACAGTTTAAAGTATAATTTTTCAAATGTATATAAGTAATGTAATTTATTATTCGAAGTAAGTATTTGATAATTATCTAATAATGTTATATAAAAAGATATATATATATATATATATATATATATATATATATAATAATAATATA